CGCTAATAACTCAGTTTTAGCATCCTTTGTGGCGAAGGCTTTTTTCCATTCCGAAGCATTCAGAGTCCGGTCTGTGATCTAATAAGACAACTGTCACGATGTTAAGCCTGTAGTATGGAGTGTTTCACATAATTTGTTCGAAGAAGTCCAGATGCTTTCAAACTGATTCGGTATCATCATATGCCTGTATTTTTTAGTATCCCTCCGGTTTCCTTTCTGTCTATTGTATATCTGATGGCACTCAATGTTTTCATTTTGATTCACATGCTCCGTGTCTTTGGAGTGTACCATTCACTTAAGAGTGGGGGGAGGTGCACAATGGGGGCCTCAGTGAATGAAGCTGAAGCATTGTGCACCCCATTCAGTATTAGTTTTATCAAATTGTCCATTCATATAAGCCTATTCTTCAAATTTAGGGTGTGTAAAATGTTAGTGTAAACAATGTAACTGTAAGTGGGCAAAGTAAATGCAGCCACAAAACTTGTAACCTCACATGACAACCTTCTAACAACGTTATGGCAACATGCTGAAAATTGCAATTTGGTGTATGGTGAACGTTGTCACAAAGCTGACACAATGTTTATGTTTTTCTCTGCTGCAGTCTGCAACTTTTTTTTCCATAAATAAATAAATAGGCCTAAATAAATAGACAATATTCTTGATTTAATCAATTCAAAACAGGCCTACACAAAAAATGCACGGATTATCTTAAACTTTCTGGCGTTTTTATGATTTTTTTAAACATAATTCTCATGTATCAAATGTTTATGCCAACACTATGTTAATATAATGTATTTCCTTTTCAGCTTTCCTGTCACCGCAAGGTCCCTGCTGCCAATGAGCCCAGGAATGCAATAAGTCCACTAGGTTTTAGGGTTAGAAAGTTGTGCATTGGTTCTAATTCTTTGCAGTTATGTATTTTTTTTTTAATTAAATACCATTCATCGCTTTCATTGCAGCGATGCATTGCAGTATCATAATTGATATGTACATTTCTAAGGCCTCTACATTATCAGCATGATCAAAACTTTGCAGAAAATTTGTTGTTGTACGCAATCATGCCCTCTGTCGTCTGATTGTTAGTTTATTTTTCTTTGAAAATAAAGGTATATTAATGTTTAAGAATAACATGTTGTTAGTAGCCTAATATTTCAAGATGAACTTTTACTGAAGCAACTTTACTATTGATTATCTTACTATTGGTTATTTTGATTACCTATACATTATTTTTTTATTTTGTATTTATTTATTTATAAGTATCAAGTATTTATAAGTATCAAATATGAATGTACAGGCCTTGAGGAACGTTTATTTGTTCATCTCTCAAATGTGGCTTTACATGCTTTGCCCCTACAATAAAAACAGAGCTTTGATCAAAGCATTTATATATCATCTCAATAAGATATACAGTATTAATATATAGTGGTTGTGATAGTGATATATGTTGGGAGATATAGCCTGGCGACAACTATTTATATGCATTGCGTGTTAAGTAGTCTGCTATACAGTTTTAAAGATCTCATTGATTTACATTACAAGCAGAATTTCATACATCTTTTTGGCCATATAAAATAACTGCATCAAATTGCAGATTTTTGCTTCGTTGGGGCTTCTGAATGTAATTAAGTTTTATTTTACCCTCAAGTGTGAGCTATATATTATCACTACTATAAGACATAAAATCCATGTATCAATTATAATACAAAACAAACAAATATATGCAGAAATGTGTTTTATTATTAGAAGAATATAAGATTGCACATTTGTATCACAGGAAAGTTCTGACTAACTTCTGGCGCTGTCTAGTGCTGAAACATGACACGATTCTATTAATAGAAAAGGAGCTTCAAGAACATCGAAGTTACAGTATGTTATTAGACTAGACCAATGGCCATTAATGACATGTAAAGAAACCTTTGTACATAAACAAAGCATACTGTTTCTGTTCATCTGTGCAGGGGATGGCTGTGACTGGTGCGATTGCACACCGTTCAGGTTTTTTAGCACCTGTCTTAAACAGGCTGAACTTGATTATTGCAACAGGATATGAAGCACTATCGCCCTCCTGCGTGACAGCTGCATCAACACAATAGCATACGCTTCAGAGAGATAAAATCCTGCAAACCTTTGAAACGGCAATAATAATGATAAAAACAAAGTAGCCTACATGGAAAAAATAGCTTTTATTTAATGCTATTTTGGATATTAGCATGTTACCATAGTATCATATTTTTATGTTAGGTTATATACATCTGCATATATTAATACAGTATAAAAAACATTTACAAAATTTAAAACTTTTTAATATTTTATAATGTTTTTTTTTGTTCTTTTTTGCCAACTTTAAAATAAAATGTTTCTTATTTTTTTTATTAATTAAAAAGAAATGAGTGTTGGGGTTATGTATAGCCTACAAATTAACATGGTAATACACAACATTTTTACACAGTTATTCAAAATTTAAACTGACATCCATGTTTTATAGGCTATTATAGTATTACAAACAACTTTCCTTGCAACAGCACTTTCTGTTAGGGATAAGTAGTGGATCTTTATTTTGTAGCAGATAAAGGAAAATGTAAGATCGCGCATAAAACAGAGGCTAAAGTAAAATGTGTTACACAGTATTTACTGCACAAAATAATGTTTCTTATTTTGTTTTCTTCACAAATGGCCCTATGTGTCACATTGCAAACGATGTTCACTGACACCATTGTCTCCTTGTTAAACAAGCTGGGCTTGCTTTTTATTAGGCTACACGTTATGATTTGGGCGAAATTGTTTAGTGTGGAAATACCACTTTAAACGTCATTATAGACACATGAACATCATGCTCTGAACAAACAGGCCTACACGTGCAAAGTGCCCCCTCTGCTGGTGATACTTTGAAACTGCTACAGGGATTGGTTAAATGAGACAATGCATGTTAGAATACATTTCTTCAATTATATAATGGCATTATGACATGCTTGATTTAGCACATATACACTTAATTTAGTTTAAGGCACACATATATTGATATTGTTTATACTGTAAATGTTTTCTAAAGAGAAGAATTGCCATTAACAAAAATAAATAATGAATAAATGCATGAATGATTGAAAAAAAAAACACACATGAATGATTCAATTAAGGGATGTCAGACAGCCTTTGATGCTTAGTTCTATACACTACCAGAAAATGTTCAAGGGTGGCAGTGTTATGCTTTACACAATAACACTTGAACTGAACTATACGTTAAAAAATATAGGCTACTTCATTCACCATGTGGCTTTCTCTTTACCACTTGTGTTATTATGGTGGATGTTGGTATATGCTGAAGGATCAAAATAGGAGCAGTGTAGTCATGTTAATTCAGCAAAAAGGGATATTGGATGGTTTAAATGTTTTGGATTTACTAGTTATTTTTTCTCTCTCAGAATTACGATGGTTTTAAACTGTTTTGAAGGTGTTTGCATTTTTACAAGGGTATTTTTTTTGTAACAGAATTATTCTGGAATCCTTAGCTGTCATTTATATTTTGTAAAAACAACAGGATATATATATATATATATATATATATATATATATTTCTATAGGTCATAT